TAACTTCTAACGTGTATTACTTATCCAATAAACTCACTGAACCGCTGTTAATGTTTTCACTCGACGCTGACCTTGGTGTAAGGAAAGTTATTCAGCAAAGACGATAAGCCTATTCGCCTGGTGATTATCAAGAAGTTTTCATTGTCAGATAATTAAACAAATAAATTAGTAACAAGGACTATTAGGAATATTCGATTGCTCATGAGTAGAAGACATGTATAATTGTGCTTGTGTTAGTCAACTCACTGATTTGTGATAGATGGGTATATTTTTCAGGTTCTGTAATATGTAATATCACTGAAATTAGTCCTAAGAAGGTGGCTAGTGATTGTCACAGAATATGACGTATTGCTTAAGTCATTTAGTTAAATAGCTCTCTAGTTTTAAAAAGTCTACATCTGGTTAAAAATGGTAAAGCTGTTGTGTGTCTTAAAAATATATCCTTAATTTGTACTTGAAATAAATATATGGATGTATATTCTTCCAATCAGTAATATTCCCAAAATAAGGGTTGTCTGCAGTCATCTTGCAAGAAGCAGTATACCTGAAATATAAGCTTTCAGGATTTCCTTGCCCATAACATAAACAAGCCGAGGGAGTAACAGACAGTACTATTTATCCCCAATTTGTTTGTTTGCAAACATAGCATCAACTTGTTAAAACATTCAGTAAAAGTTGACAGCACGAAACAATACATACTGACAACACTGTACGGTCTGGTCGATGGTTTTGCAACAACAACAACAACAACAATAATATGCGATTAAAGATTTTCCTGAATAGAGATGTTTTATCTCTCACCGTCCGTTAGGGCCCGGCATGGCCAGGTGGTTAAGGCACTCGACTCGCAATCTGAGGGTCGCGGGTTCGAACCCTGTCACACCAAACATGTTCGCCCTTTCAGCCGTGGGGGCGTTATAATGTGACGATCAATCCCACTTTTCGTTGGTAAAAGAGTAGCCCAAGAGTTGGCGGTGGGTGGTGATGACTAGCTGCCTTCCATCTAGTCTTACACTGCTAAATTAGGGACGACTAACGCAGATAGCCCTCGTGTAGCTTTGCGCGAAATTCAGAAACAAACAAACCGTTTACGTTTTACATGAAATTCTGGAACTGCTTAACAGCTTCATTTCAGAGTTTCGTACATGATAATTATAATGAAATATTTTGATACACAATTACGTAGTTTGAACTGTAAATAAAGTAGCCACATTTGAAAAGTTAACCAAAAGTCTTTCTTTTATGACAATAGTTTTAAGTTCATGTTGCCCCCCCCCAGTGGCACAGCGGTATGTCTGCGGACTTACAACGCTAGAGACCGGGTTTCGATACCCGTGGTTAGCAGAGCACAGATAGCCCATTTTGTAGCTTTGTGCATAAATTCAAACAAACAAACAAAAGTTCATGTTTAAAACAACAAAAACTTGGAGTGTTTTATACAAACAAAGTATAGGCCACGAAATCGTTTTTTTATGAGTTAAATGCCTATTACAGCTAACAAAACACTGTGGAAGATAGTGTATGTTCGCTTGTAGTTATACTCATCGTTGTATAAATAATCATCAAGTCAGTCTCCAAATTATATTGTATAAAATAGGCTAGGGTGACTCATTTTTACACAGAAATTCCATGATGTATGCATAAGCCCTTGCCCTACATTCAAGCATCTCCAGTGTACTAGCTGTACATACATTTTAAAATGTAAGGGATATGAGGTTTCATGTTTTTAGACTTTTTGTCGAGGTCAGACCACAACGAACCTGACCTTTTGAAAGCTGACTTTAATAAAAGTAAAACACCTACAATAGAGATTCGTATTTAAAATATCAAGTTTCCGGTTGCCCAAACCGCTCGTGCTTCCCTCACTCTGCTTATTCGTAACCTCCAACAGCAAGATCGTGTTAAGGAAAAAGTGTCCTACATATGAGAAGAAACGTATCATATTTTATTTAACGGCTTAAACTAATGGGAAACTTTATATAATGCAGATTTTTATATGGCACGGCTGCTTTGTGGGCATAATACACGTATAGTATACATATACATGTTTGTTTATTGTGTATACACATACATCAGCAATACTAGTAGACGTAAAATGATACGACACAAAAGGAAAACTAAGTACGATTTATATGTCTAAAATTTGAAGGTATAACAATAGAAGAAGTAGGAAACATTATTACTATACTTTCTGACGTGATCAACTTTGCAAACGTTATTATAGTGGGTTGGTAACAGTGTCGCTAGATGTCAAGTACCATTTAGAGACAACGTTATTATACCTTCACGAATTTCAGCTGTATTTTATTATTTCGTAGAATTTGTTATCTTTTCTCGAATTCTGTATTACACTTTAGAAATTACGAAGATTTTTTTGGAGACAAACAGTAAAGATATACAATTTTCTGGCTAATGTATGACAAGGTGGCAATTGAAATAAATTACAAAAGAAATAACGAAATGGAACAGTCTGGGGCATGTTAGAGATGCAGTGTAAGAGAAAGCTCAAAATGCACTTACCTTAACTAATTCTTATAAAATCAAAAGCTAATTAATGAAACAAACGTTACACTAAAACGAAACGAAACATATGAGAAGGTAACACCAAACGAATATGAGACGTCAAATATGCTTATAAGTCCTTACCCCCCCCCCCAAAAAAAAAAGCAAAAAATTGTTCTGTAAGAAATTTCCTTATTAAGCGTTCGTATAGAAACCGTACAAAAAATATTTAGACTTTCTATAAAACCAACAAGCGAAGTTTCAACAAAAAGTTTCCAAAACCCTATACGGTTGTGAGAAGTCAAAAACAAACTAGACTTTCAATATTGGAGTTGGTTCTAACTACCGGCAGTACGGTGCCTTTTAAAGACTTCAATATATATATATATATATAGTTCATTACAGCAACTACTAACACATATATACATTTAAATGAACATGAAAATTCATACATTCACACAAACACACACACACAAATAAATATGCATATATATGTAATCAAAGGCTAACAAGTAAACACTCGATCAGTACAAATTTCGCGCTAAACACTCATTGATTATTTAATTGAGGCAGTATTTTTGCAGTGCCTCTATAGTACACTAGTCATAGCAAATACATTATTTTAATACTTTGGTAAAAAGCAAAAGATGAAGAGGTCAGTACGTCGAAGAACCCCTTAATTCCTGTCCACGCCATATATTCACCACCGGCATGTAGTTCAAGTAACTGTGTGAAGATAGAATTGGATGCGATTCTAGATTCTTTTCAAATGAGTATATGTGGGTTTAAACAAGTCATCTGTAAAAAAGAATGTTGTATAGGTGTTCTTTTTACTATTGCAGGATAGTTACTTTGTGCTTTGCTTTGACCAAAATGCATCTTATTGGACGATTAGTCATCAAGCCATTTTTGTGAAGTCTGTTTCTAACCGTCTGCACGTTGACACTTACTGTTACGAGCATCTGAGTCAAGTTTGAAGCAGGCCCCTAACGATTGCGCGAGTTAGAGTTGACAGACAGCAGTCATCTGCCTGCGTTGTGAATGTGTGTCGGTTTCTCGTATCTGAGAAATTGTATCATTGAGAATCATTCGTTCCACACATTGCTGACGACACTCAGTTGTAACCATAAACGTAGCCTGGGCAGGGGAGGGTCTAATATTTGAATCATTCGTTCCACACATAGCTGACGACACTCAGTTGTAGCCATAAACGTAACCGGGGCAGGGGAGGGCCTAATATTTGACTCATTCGTTCCACACATTGCTGACGACACTCAGTTGTAGCCATAAACGTAACCGGGGCAGAGGAGGGTCTAATATTTGACTCATTCGTTCCACACATTGCTGACGACACTCAGTTGTAGCCATAAACGTAGCCGAGGCCAGGGAGGGCCTAATATTTGAGAGAATATAATTGTTTCTAGTTTTTTCGTTTTTAAGCCAAGTCATTAAATCATTTTCTTACTAGCCCACATGCATGAACGTCTTTTCTGTTTATTTCAATGGCTGTAACCAATTCGCAACCGCCTGCTTTGATTCGCTGCAGTCGATGTATCCAATGGCTCTTGTCATGAGTGAAACATCCAAATGTCTCTATTTTCGTTAGTAATGGTGCATAGACAACTTAGAACAAATTTAAGTACTATTATTCACCTCAAAGCGATAAAAGAAACGAAACTGTGTGTGATCACAATACATTTTTGCTACTGGTTTTTGAGGTTACACAAAGACTATCTGCCCATACCGGACACTAATTTTCAACTAATAGACTAGGTGAAAGGCAGCTAGTTAACAGTACCTATCGCCAACTCTTGGACTACTTTTGTTTGACCGAATAACGGGATTTCACCATCATTCTTACAGCGCAACCACGGCCCCAAAATACGTAGCGCGTTTAGGTATCGGCACGCAAACTAGAACCCTTGGTTTCACAGCGCGGCACGTTACTAGGTAACACGTCTGTCTCTACCATAATACACATCGTAGGTTGAATGATCAATAACTTGCAATTTAGATCACATTACTGATCATCAGGCGCTTTATTTGCGTAGCAATAAACCGAGAGGAATGATTGACATTATATTATAACAGTTACTTTTGCATTATTATAGCACTAATATAATAAATTATATTTAATTGTTTTCAGAAGAATGTATACACTCTATGACTGCTTTCATATTCTAACATAAATAATTGTTTAATACAAAAAGCATTAACTTACAATAAAAATATATAGAGTCTGTAACTATGATAATACTTAGAACATCACTGATACCCTAATCTATGCCACCTGTTTCTCATATATTGTATGCAACTTTTCTTTAAAGCTATTCCTTATGACTAATGACTTCTAATAAATAATGTTTTCAAGTGTTCAAACACGCACTTGAATTTAGAGTTATTTTATGTCGGAACAACTCCACGATCTCGATCATTATGAGCACCCACTACCACAGCTCCCTCTCGTTGTAGCTCCTATAACCACGTAAAGTTGGTCAACACAAAATCAGTGTGCCCGAGACTTGCGATTGGCATTGGACTTACGAACGGCACGAGGTGGCTAACGATACGCACGCGAAGAGAAAAAGCCAGTTACGGCCCATCTGACGCATAATAACGAGTAGAATACCCTTACAGGTAAAGAACCCATGTGAAGTTGTGGGTTAGGATGTTTCGACTGGTAACTACTGACATAGCGTATATACAAAGTTGATGACGTACGTAACGCACGTGCAGCGAATCGAAAACATCATGATCACTATAAAAAATATCATCAGGTAAGCCATTTTAGTTGGTCTATAAATTGAATGTGGTATGTAAAGAATTTGGGTGAATTCTGAAAAAAAAAGTACCGTTGATGAGCAAACAGATATGAATTACAGTAAACTCTGAGACCAATAGCTGTCAAATTTCAAACACAGTTTACAATAATAATAATCGTGCATAACAATTTGCATTTTAATTGAAGATAACTTTTATAGTTTGGTGTATTTGTTCGCTAATACTAGATTTTGTCTGATCAGCCCACTGCTATTGAAAAAAAAGTGTATGTTAGTCCATGGATGAAGTAATAAAAAGGCATACTTGTGTATGTGAAAGTAAACAGAAACTATGACATGGGTACACATGTTACTATCATGGTCGTTAAGGACGCCGTGGCCAGATTGCCGAACAGTTGTCATAAAAAAAAGAAACTTAAAAAAAAAATGCATACACTGTGTTAAGCCTACCATTAAATATTGGTGCAGCGTTAGAAGTAAAAGAGGTTATCAGTGACTTGAAGCTGTACGGGTAAGATTGGGATGCATGCCAGGGGCGGGTTTATAATATGTCAGACTATTAAACAGTGCCACAACCAGTCCACATACTATAGAAACTACCAATGGATTTTATGTATTTAGGTAGTCTTGACGTCAATCGACATATGTGACTTATATCGGACGTGATTGACGCCTGGAAAGAGCGGGAATTTCGTGACACTTGGTAGATGATGAAGAATCCCCTCGTTTAACCAGTGAAGTGTCTATTATCTTGATATGACCAGCCGTCTAGATGTACTCGAGAAGTCGATTTCACTGGGGTGTGTAACTTTTTCGCTCGACAGGCTACTAAGGAAAGGGTACACGTACGTTTGCTTAGACATATCTGAGTGTAATTAAGCATTCGATAGAATTCTCAGAATCTATAATACAGATGTCAGTTGTGTCTAACCTAAGTGGCAGTATATGTAAGATGCTCTTCCTTTGCTTCTATATAAAACACAGTAGTGCACTAGAAAGCAAGGCCCTACAATATAGCACTGATCTGTCCAAAAGTATCCTTGTGAAGTCGATGCCTTGTGTTTCCTAGTTCATGAACGTAATGGAGAAATTTATCAAAAAGTGTATGTTTACAAATCATTTGTTAGGCCTATGCACATCAGAAATATATAGATTCAATTTATTTTGATGTAAGCCTATATATATGTATTACTAGTTGAAATACGAGTCGTATCAGTACCATCATTCACTGGAATTGGCAGTGACATGAATTTTCGGAATTATAAAGATTTTGCACTCTCCACTTATGTGTATATTTCGCAGAATTTTATTTGGTTCATAGACGGCGCTTCGTTGAATTTTCTTACACTTTTTATCGCAGGTTTTTTTTTTCGTAAGTTTTATATTTTTTTATCAGTTCACATCCTTCAGTACGTAATCTTACATACTAACCCAGTGTGATCCATTTACGATAATATTTTACATTTTCGTCTATTCATTTGTTCTATGACTTATTTACTTGAAACCAAATATTACTACTCAATCACTGTAAATTAATCTGAACAAAAAAAATATTTTTTACGCGTTACGAGGTACGTTGTCGTTTTGTATGAACTGAACTACGTATTCCGTGATTTCAGTATATCAGAGGAAAGCCTGTAGATAGGGTAATAGTAAAAAGTGGGTATGTATACCACTTGTAATTGTATTTGTTATAAAATCCTAACGTTTTTCAGCTCCTCATACGTCTTTTTTA